TYTATTAACGTGTGTATTACAAATTAATATGATATTCCTTATTATGGAGTATTGTTACTAGTGGTATTGTGATTAAAAAAGTGTTGGTAGGAATTTCTGCTGCACAGGAATTCCTGCTGCACTATGCTCATTTTGACTTTAACTTCGATACTAAATTGTGCAGGCCGGTGCAGGACTGTGCTGTGAGGCACTACAAAAACCCGATGCCTCAAGTTCAGAAGAAGCGTTAGCTGTGTCGGTAGAGGTAGAGCTGGCTGTACCTGCTCTCTGGGGACTTCAGTGGGGATACTAGTGCCAGTAACAGTACAGCTTTATTTCTGCTTATCTCAGTATCTCTATCATTGCAAATATCTGACAATGCCAATTTAAATAAACTTCTTGGTTATAAAATGCATTTCCTGCATAGGAAATTCRTCTGCTTTCCAAGTGTGTCTTGTAGTGTGAGTTATAGCTCTTTATTAGAGCCCCAGGAGTCTGTAGAGCTGCTTTGATGCTGCAGATTATGGAGGAGATTAAGGAAAGGTTTACTTAATCGATGTAAAGATGGCACAAATGGCTTGCACCTGCACCAGGAAGAGTTACTCCTTGTTTCCTGAGACTGTCCTTCTACTTAGCAAAGCTTAGACTGGAAATTTGTCCTGTCCCAGAAAGATGTTCCTTTCTGATTAGCAGTCTGGAAATCTGAAGGTTCATTTGCTTTCCCTAAGAAAATTCACAGGTGGTGGTTGAAGGGTTTTGAGATAACAGCTTTTGTCTGTAATAAGAACTTCTGATTTAGAATGGGCTGGATAGATGACTGTAACTGCATAGTTGTATTACTGGATTTTTTATTTCTTTATAAAAATACAATACGTGGATTATATTGTAAGGAGGCTTGATTGTTGTAGCCTTCCTGTTTGAATTACACTATTTACTCCGGGATATTGTGAGCTTTTCTCAAGCGCTAGTGTTCAGCTACACTGAAATAAAAAGCTTATTTGAAGAAACCTTCAAACTTTATACCTCCTGTGTGTATAGCAGTGTCTATTTCATGAATGAATTTCTAGCAAGTAATATCTGAGGTGACTGTGGAGAGTCCAGAGTCTATGTCTGAAGGTCGGAGTCTCTWGTTTGGCCTGTGCTGGAAAGCCAGGAGTGCAGCAGGAGCAGTTGCGCAGGCCGAGTTTTCTATGTGGTCTGTGTAGCTGGTGGCACTTGCAATGTCGTTACTGCATCTGTAGGCATTTATATGTTATAAGCTAGTAATTGTAACTGTTAGATCATTGTTGTTTCTTTGTTCACAGGCTTTGGGTACTTAATGCTGCTAAATGTGCTATAGATGTATGAAGAGTATATATTTTTCTGTCAGTACTTCACCAGTTTATTTGGTACAAATAATAGCTTGTTGTTTGATACTGTGAACATTCTGCAATTTTTAAATTAAAGCTCTTGTTAATGATGACTATCAACAAGTTCCCAACAGTATTATTATTTGAGTTCTTTTGAAGATATGTTTAATCCTTCACTATTTGAATCTAATCTGGAATTCATCTAGTGTAAGCACCAATTAAGTGTCTTTTTGATGTTTGTCCATTGTATGAATGATATATCAAAAAATCATACTTCCAATATTATTTACACTTCCTACCATATCCCCCTACACTATGTGAAGATCAGTGATTAATCCAGAAGAATCAATAGAAAAAGATGTTGAGAAACTGCACTGTGAAAAAAAATGCTTCCAGCTCCTTTCTCCTGCAGAGGCATAAGTGTTGCCRTTCTGTAGAGAGGAAAGAATGACTAGGAATTCTTTAACTTGCATTTCATTTCTGTGTCATCCAAAGGAGGTCATACAAGAGGACTTCCTCCTCTCTCTCTTCTCACTGAACTGAGTTTGCTTTGTTTTTTTTGTTTTCTTTTCTTCCATTCTTTATTGCAGTATTATCCTCTCCAAAGTTTTGCCTGGAGCAAAAACTGAAATCCTGCTACTCAATCTCTTAGGAATCATGCTAATGAGCACTTGAGACTTTAGTAGGAAGTGAGGCTAAATTATGTCATCACCTTCAAATAGAACTTTTAGAAGCAAAAAATGTTCATGCCAATAAGTTGCTTTTRTGTTTCTTCCTTCTTCTGGCATCCATTTCAAATTCATGGAACAAAAGTACATCCTCTTGAAATTACTTAGTGTGCATGTGTTTCAGGTGTCAGCTACTTCATTGATGAAGAAAATAATGTTACTGTATGGCTCCCATGAGATCACCAGCTCATTTCCTTGTCAGGGTCTAAAAATGTAATATGGTCTTGTAATCAATGAGAAGAGACAAAAATAATAAAAAGGACTTGAAAGTGAATCTTCAAAATCTGGTAGCATTCTTGTTCTGCTGAATAAGTTGCAAATTAGGATTTCAGTTAAAATTGGGGAAGTTGAGAAGAGTGAGTGRTACAGGATATCTATATAGGTTGCATGAATGCAGTTTGGTAATTACTGAGGGAACCAAAGAAAGGGGAGAAGTGCACATAATTAAAGAGGTATGTAGATAGTGTGTATGTATATGGGAATTGTAKTTTTGTTTATTTCCAAGTAAATGATTTCTGGGGATGTATTCTCATAGAATTTCTGTAAGAAGTTGATGATTTCTTTGATTGTTTTTATTCATAATTCCAATYCACCATCTCTCCACCCAAATAAGAGAAAAAAGATTGATAGAGACTAACGTTATTGTGTCTTATCTTCCGATGAGTCCAGTACAAAGAGCATGCTACCTTAGTGCAGAAATTACGGCAAACGGGATTTTTCCTAGGACRTGTAAATTTGTAACCAGCCATAAATTGAAGTTCCTGGGCAGTAACTGTTTTAATAACAAATGGAACTTCACTGTTGAACTGTATATAGTGCATATGCACGTGTGTGTGTATGTATATAGCTATATATATATTTTTTGTGTATGCATGTGTATTTTATAAAAAGCTGGCATCACAAGAATTGTGCAGTCTTTCTAGATGAACTAGAGTAGGGTTAGGGCAGAGCTAAGGTGAGCAGAACTTGCTGCCAAGTGTCTACATCTCTTTTTGCTGAATGTGGTCTGAGGGAACCTCCATGCCAGAGTCTTTATCTTATCGTCGGAAAAGACTTGAAAAGCTTTGCTAGTACACAGACTACAGAATGATCTTCAGAATGATTTAGTGCCTTGAGGGACATCTCTGCTGAGACAGCCTTAACTGCTCTCTCACAAGAGTTTTCTGAAAAGTTTTTACTGCTTTGGAAGAATGCAGTGCTAGAATTTGGTTTTAGATAATAGATTCTGGTCCTGTGCTGGTAAAGCTCTAGTTCATTGATGGGGCAGGAGGGGAAATACAAGCATTTAACTTGAGCAGTGACAGGAAAATGGGCTTTTTTCCTTCATCGTGAGTTCTTGCAAGTTCATTAACAATTTGGTTTCCTTTTTTTACTGGTTTCAATCAGCAAATGGAATTCACTGTGCTCTATTTCAAATAAAGGATTATTTTTCTGCCTTGTATCCTCCAACTGAATGCTTACTTTGTTTGAAGATCTCCGAAATATTTGCAGGAAGTGATTTTTGTAGACTGCTGCCTTGGAGCTCCTTACAGTATCCAGACTTACAAGTACTTCAGAAAGTGATCGAGACTCATCTGAGGTTAGAAGAAAGTGTCACTTTGTAAATGGAACAAGTGGACTATGGTGTTGCAACCCTTAGAAAGTAATAGATTACACTTTTGCTGCTTTCATCAAAGCACCTCAGAACACTTAACAAATAGTAATTACGTTTCACAAAACCCTGGTGAGACAGGTAAGTATAATCACACATTTTGCAGCTGGACAGATTGAATCATGCAGGTGTTATCTGTCCAAAGTAAAACAAGTCCGTGGACAATTTCAGAATAAAAATCAAGGAATCCTAATTAACCCATTGTGCTCTGCCCTGGTAACCCTCTGAAAAGACTCTTCTGTTTGCTGCTTAATTGCAGAAGGTGCTGGTTATCTGCTCACAACAACAACAAAAGCAAGCTGCCTTGCTGCCTGTTTTTACAGTTATATCACCAGACTACTTTATCTTGAATCTGAGAGGGAGAGAATGTTTATGACACTAGCCTGTTGCTTAAAATACTTAGATTCACTTTTCTGTGACACTACTGTTGAGTTTTTTTAGRATCTTGTATATTTTAGTTTCTGTATGTTGCAGTTTTCCATCTGCAAAATGCTTCTCCTTTCTGAGATTTTTTATGTCTTGGCCTGTGAGAAGAGATCTCTGAGGCAGAGAGTTGGCAGTTTCTAACACACTGGGTGCAGCAGTAATGAAGGAATGATCTTGGAAGCATTGCTTTCCCCTGGTTGTTGTTGAGATGACATGAATGGTTAGGGTTCCAAAAATTCTTCATTGCTGGGATATTTTAAAGGCAGTCAGTGGATTCAGAAGGCTGTTTGAATCTCGGCAGGTGGAGGAGAAGGGGTGCATAGTTAATGCAAGCATGCTGTGCTTCCTGAGGTTACATTAATAGTAGACATGTTGGCTGAATTCTCCTGAGCACTCCTTGGGTTGCATCTGAAGTGATTCTTTCTTCCCTCAATCTGGCTACGGCTTTCAATTAGAGACTGGGATTTGAAATGGAACAAAACATCAGACTTTAAAATACCAGCTGTGCTTTATTTTTAATACTTTCTTCACTCAAAGACGTACTTTGGGAACATGCCGAGCCCGTGTTTTTTTCCTTTATCTAAGATGGTCCCTGTAGATTATAGTTCTGAGTTTGCAAGTACAGTGGGATTTGTCTTTCTGGATTATGATAATTAACTTTAAAGAATAAGGATTGATAATTCTGTTATCAAGAAATAAATGCCTTTTYTTTTCCTTTTCTAGTGAACCCATAACTTTGTATTGTATTAACTAAAACATGCATTTCTTAAAATGTTCTCAAAGAGAATTAATTTGTATTTGATATTAGGAAAATATTGTTCCTAATTGTACTACTGTGTGTTATGTGTGTTTGTTTTTAATGTACAGGGCAGGAGAGGATTGGCAAAGACTCCCATTATGAGCAAGAAGGGAAGGTTCAGTTTGTGATCGATGCTGTGTATGCGATGGCGCATGCGCTCCATCACATGAACAAGGACCTTTGTGCCGATTACCCRGGCGTCTGCCCGGAGATGGAGCAGGCAGGAGGCAAGAAGCTGCTGAAGTACATACGCAGCGTTAACTTCAACGGTGAGCTGAAAAGACTATTTTATCAGTAGCATTTTGACCAGTGTAAGTTTTTCTCTATCGAATTTTYGTCTATTTATTTATTTGTTTAATTCAATTGGAAGTTTTTATTGTTTCACTAGAGTTTGTGGTAGAAGACCGTATTTATTTAGTGTCTCTTTGAAAGCCTGGTATGGCTTTACTTGAACTAGATGTTTTGTAAAACATTTCAATTTTGCAGGATCCCAGGTAGCCAATAGGCTACTACAGYGCAAAGATAGAAATTGCTGCTGCTGTTTTAGAATATTTCCAGAAGACTTTGATTTCCTATAGGTGAAATAGATGAATGAAAAACTTCAGCTTGTTTGTGATTAAATATTTAAGCCTAGGGTCTACTTAAGCCCTAGAAGTTTGTTAGCAGCACATACATCATATATCTATATTTTATTTTGTCTTTTTTTGTCTTTTTTTTTTTTTTTCCTCTCCTTTTTATTCACGTTGTTTCCATTACTTGGAGAAAGCTAGCAGGACAAGATCTGGTACCCTAAATGCAACTGAGCTTCATGTTCAAGACAAGGGAGAAGACAGCTAAAGAGACAGGTTCATTTGTTTAGAATCAGAACTGTGTGATTTAGACCAACAGGCTGTGGAAGTAAATGCACAAAACCTTCTGGGAATGAGGATGGGAGAATTTTTCTTTACAGCCACTTCTTTTGTGTCCACTGATGCTTCCGCCATTTGCTGTGTGGCATTGATAGTTACAATGCTAGCCCTCCCTTCTATACAGGTCAATGGCTTCCACTTACTTTCCTCTGCCTTGCACTGTATGAATCAAGCCTAAGTACTGGCGAATTTTCTTGCTTCTGTGTGTTTTACTGAAATTTTATTGGCTTCATTAATACCCATGGGGGAGATTCACCCGAGCTCAGCTCCAGAGTCACCAGAGCAGGTCACTCATAGCAGGTAACATTACAAGCAATCTAATGTTGTTTCCCCTTCGTAAACCTTGCTAATGTGGGTACCCAGGGGCTCAGTGCTCTGCTGTGAGACACAGACCCTGGATTTAACTGGAGGCAAAAAGATAGATCTCCAAATCTATAGCTAAAAACAGATTTTGAAAAGTAATGAAAATATCCTTCGGAAATGGCTGAGGTAGCCACTGATACCAATTTTCACAAAGCAGCAGCTTGTGCAGACATCGCCTGCTCCGTGGTTGACACGGAGGGGCCTCCAGAGCAGCCCCCGGGGACACTGTGTGAGGCTCCAGGCCTGCAAGGGTGAGCACTGAAGGAGCGCTGGGCCTCGGCCAGCCACGCAGGCCACGTCCCGCCCGGGACGCAGCAGCCTGTGCTCTGCTATAGCTGCCTCAGCGCCTCCATAGATACGTGTGCTCAGCATTAGGTTCCTGAATTTTGAAAAATTAGGCCCTGCCCTCWCAGATTCTTGCTTCATTTTACTAATAAACATCTTTATTAATATAGTAAAAAATAATAATAACATACCAATAGGAACAGCAGGATTTAAAGGTAGGAATAAATCTGGTCTGTAGTGGTCAAGTTTGGTCATTTTTGTYAGGGATATTTTTCCTTTCTGTATAAATTGTCTTATGAATGGCAAAGTGTATTACAGGAGATTTTTATTTCCTCCTCCGAAGGAAATCGCTTAACTACATCTTTTAAGATGAATAGTCTGAGAAAGTCTGAGTTCTACTTTCCTGATTTTGGAAGGTTATTATTAAAAAAAAAAAAAAAAAAAARAAARAAARAAAGCTAAAAGGGATGAAGATTACATAGAAGTACGGTATTAGTACGGTATTCATATATACTATTGTACTTTCGCCATTTTAATATTTAAGAACGCTCATACATTATCATCTCTAGACAGCTTTTGCATATAAAGAGAATGGATGGTCATTCCATCATTTTATTAAAGCTGAGAAATAATTTGTGAGAAAATAGGTGCCCGGCTAATTTTGCATACTGTTCAGCTGCTAAAATTGGTTTGCAGCAACTGATTTCCATACTTGTGTTTCTTTGGTCAGCATTTAAAAAGATTACTTATTTTTCTTTAACTGAGATTACACAGCTTCCTGGTGTTTTTCTTTGGTTATATACAGGTGACTCATGGCCAGCACAGGGCTCAAAGAAGCGGTTTGATTTTTAGCAGAGAAGGAGAATGATGGCAAAAGTGGTAGTTATAAACCTTTTATTTTCCTTTGGCAATTCACTGTTGGGCACTCCCTGGGTCCCTAGTTCCCTCCCTGGGGAAAAGAACCAATTTCTGTAAGTGTATTTTCCAGGGGCAGAGCTTAGCTTCTTTTGTCACATTGGTGGGGTGTTGTAATTGTACATGTGTTTGTGTATCCAGGCTCAGTGCTGTGCCATAATCCTTCTGAGACTGTGGAGAGATATTCAGGGAGACCTACTTCTTTATCTGATCTCCGAAGGACTGTAGAATAGACAAGGAGCACTATACTAGAGCTAGAATGGAAACTATGCTAATTCACTCCTTCAAATCTTCTTTCACATGCTGGAATTCAATGAAGAATGGGAATTGTGAAGAAAACTATAATCTTAAATTTCAGTGCTACTACAGAAGAGATTTTTCATTGCTTTGGGGAAAAGAAAGTTATGGGGTAGGAGGAAGCTTTGTATATATGGGAGCATTGTCATAATTTTCARTCTTGACACAATATTACTCTACCCTGCTGAAACCTGTATTAATATATCTTGAGATAAGTGTCATTCTTGAAATTTTTACCTAGAGCCCTGAGAAAATACAGCATTGCTTTGAATTGTCATTTAGGAAAGGTTCACTATTGCTATGGTAATTAAAATGAAGATTTTCTGGTCGTAACTTTCTTATCTAAGGAATAATCTTGTAATGAAGTTCAGTTATCAAAGTGCTTGTGATCCGTGGACTTACTTTGCCCTTGGGAGATCCAATTCTGTGCACTGTATTTGGGTACACTGGAGGCTTCACCTCCCACCCATCAGCRGTGGAGGATGGCAGATCCTGATCCTGAACCAGTCCCGAGTGAAATACTTTTCAGCCTGTATCAGTGTCACAGAGGATAAATAAGGAAGTGTGCAAGGAATAATCTTCCTGTAGTTTACTCTGTTCTTTTCCATCTCAACTGCATGCTGATTACTGGAATAAGAACATATTGTGGAGGAGGAAGCTATTTCTGGATGCCAGTCAAGATTCACCAGACCTGGGCTGACTTCTGACAGCAGTATCTTTCAGAAACAGATGGAACATTTTCTGGGGAAAAAAAAAATCATTTAGAGGCTCCATTCACGGGCATGATTTTCACTAAAGAACTCCCTAAGGGAAGAAGGATGGGGAAGAAGACTGGAGGTCAGGAAGAAAAGCCTTCTCCTGTTTCTTGCTATAYGTGAGGTTAGAGTGAAGTAAGGCTGATCTAGCTTTGCTTTGTTTTATTTTCAGTAGATTTGTCAGTGCATTTGGGTAGGATCATTAATCACAGAAAGAGGGCTAGGATTATGCCACAGTGTCCTAGTGTATTTATTTTAAATGGCTGGGCTGATAGATGGCCGTTGCCTGAAACACGTTGCCAGTCTGAAAGCTTTCAACTGTGACTAAATAAATAAAACAGATACTGTAAAGCTTTGGCTTTTCTTTTTTTTTTTTTTTTTNTTTTTTTTTTTTTTTTTTTTTTTTTTTTTTTTTTGGTTGGTTGGATTTTGTCTTCCTTCCTCAGGCAGTGCTGGCACTCCAGTGATGTTTAATAAAAATGGTGATGCGCCAGGACGCTATGACATCTTTCAGTACCATACAACGAACACCAGCACCCCAGGCTACCGGCTTGTTGGCCAGTGGACAGATGACCTTCAGCTCAATGTGAGTCTCTCTTATTCAGTATTTGCTTTTCTTTGCCAGGTACAATGACTAAGTGGTATTTTGTAACCATGCAAGAATTAATACATGAAACTACTACTACTATTACTTCACAACTATAGTATCTTCTTTTGCTCCATTRTGACATTTCTTGTGCTGACTACCCAAGCTCTTTACATTAATAGACACGTCAGATGATTATGCAGATTTTATTACTTTTGCATGTCTGATGTCCTCAGTTGCCAGCTAGGAAAATGACAGTAATGCATTGTTGTTTGAAACTAATGGACTTTTATTTTTAGATGATCTTCGGTTTTTCTAGTTTTAGAAAAACAAAGATCAGACATTTTTGTGTCACTCACTGTTCCTGCTTTACTTTTATACGTGTAGCAAAGATAGCCATATGAATGAGGTAGTCCTTCTGTAAACATGTAAGAAGAGAGGAGCAAAGACCGCAAAATACATGGTTGGTGACCAGGTGAAAAAAAAAAAAAAAAGAAAAAAATGTTACTGCTAACAAAGGGAGCAAGAAGCCTTCTGCAGCTTCACCCAGACCAGAACATTCTGTGATAGGTCCCTTGCATAGGTCTCTGGAGATTTGAGTTYGCTCCTTGGTCGTAGCACAGGCTTCCTGCTTGACTTTGTGCAAGGCCTTGAATGTGTTGAGAAGAGGTGCCAGTTTAACCTTACAGTTATTTGACTTTTTGTAGATGTTGTTATTAGAGTACAGAGACCATATTTTTGTTTTGGTTTAACTGAGAGCCTGCTTAGAATCGAGGTATTCCTAAAATGAAATGACAGTTGCTACAGAAGATTTTCTTTCTCAGTTGATGTCTACCTGARGTTATACTAGAGGAATTTGCCTAGGAGGGCAACAGTTCATTTGCTGTGTTAATTTCTGGTGCGAGAAGTTTCCTGTTGAGCTTTATCTAAGGAGAAGAGATCCTTGGGTGTACTATGGCTCTTTCCCTGCCTGTGTATCTGGATTTCTCTTGGAAGGAAACCACTTTGGAAGGAAAAAAGAAAGACTGGTGTGATGATGGTCCAATCCTGCCACACAGCCAAGAGATGATCAGGATATACCTGGTATAGCAAGTTTAACTTGTGCTTCAGTTCTTTGTACATAAACATTTCATTGAGACGTCTGYCTACTAGTCCAGCTATGTAGCTTGTCTTCAGGCTAAATGCTATTTAGGTAGATGAAGTATGGTAATTTGAGGTATAAAAGAAGTTGGAACACTTTCTCCTTCTACTTTTAATGTATTTGTGTCTTTTGTTCAATGAAGTCATTGATGTGGTTTACCGAAGTCCAGTTTTCAAGATAATATTTTCTTCTTAAATTCTGATTCATTTTGATTTGTTGTGGGGTGTTTTCATGTTTTTCAACTTGAGGTGTTTTATTTGAGACAAACTGTTGCATTAACTTTGCAATTTACAATTCTTTTAGCAAAAATATTAATATTTCATTAAGTAAATACTACTTTACAGAAACTACTCATCCTGAATCATTAAAATTTAAAACTAAATTAATGGAGCTTGATTTGTATTCCTGTTGTAGTGTTAAATGTTTCCATAAAAAGCATACTTTTTTCACCTTTGTATCCTCATGTGGCTAAAATGTTCTATCGGTAGCTGAATCTCTCACAGTGACTTCTCTTCTATGCACTTACAGGTCTTAATTTCTCCTTGGAATTCACACGGGGATTAGCATTATTAAGGTAGTCTAAACACATAGTTTCTTAACAAAAGTAATATTGTGGAGTTTAGAGAAGCTTCCAGAAGTTCCCTACAACAGCCAGTGCAAATCATAGATACTGTAAAACATGAAAAACTGCCATAGGCTTTAAGTTGTCTTTGGTAAATATTGTTGGAGATAATACTTCATGACATTTTTATTGAGTTCTTATTTCTTTAATGCTGACACATAGTAGGAAAAAAAAAAAAGGAAGAAAAAAGAAGAGAGAGAGAGGAAGAGAAAGGATGATTTGGTGAGAGACTGCTRATTTTAATTTAGCAAATGCTGAAGAGATATTCCATTTTAGAAGAGACTCCTCTTGGGCAGATCTCTTAATTCTGTGTGTTTCACTTTGCTCAGTTACCAAAGCAAAAGTTGTACTGCACTATCACACAGTCAAACACTCCATATATCAAAGATGGTAGGTAATTAAGTGCCRAAGGCTATCAAAGTTAAGCAAAGTATTTGTTTCCTTCTCTTCTTTATCATCAKCTTTATTCAAAGAATGAGCAAGAATGTGTATTTTCATGTAAGTACTACTATTAAATCCTACAGTAAGTCTAATCTCAGTGTTATACTTTATCTTCCCAGATATATCTTTGAGTGTGAGGCAGAAGTAAGGGGAATAGGGACTGATTATTCTTGATATTTTTCAGATAATAACATTATGCACATTTTCCTCTGTATTTTCAAAGTAAAATCAGAAGTTCTCAATTTCTACTGTTTTGTTGCATGAGGCACTCACTGGATAAAATGAAGACATCTTTAACAACCTTTATTCATAAGTCTTAAAAATATGCCGTATCACTTTGTTTTCTTTTTCTCAATACTAGCTTATGTGCCTGATTTTATGAAATGGTTGAATCTACATTGGTATATTTGTCTGTCTTGATTGCTTCTCCACATCACCTTTGCTTTTTAATGCCTGGCAGAAATGTTCAGAAAATGCAGAGGAGGTTGTTCTGTGTAAATACAGAACCAGATTCTGATCTGCCTTCAACAAGCTTATATGTGAAGTGTTTCCTCTGAGCAGAGCTGACTGAATTTACACTTCTGTACCTGAGGTCAGAAATTGTTCAATTACCAAGAAATATTTTGTGACTTTTCACTGCAAGAAATTCAAGTATGTAATCACCATATTTCCTTTTTGCTTCATCTCAAACAACCTAATACAGCTATGCCTAGCACTCAAGGCATGATTTATTGACAATTCTGGCTGTATTTCATAGATATCTACACAAGGATAAAATGAGCAGATGTCTAATTTTAAATAGTTTGGCCAGTATTCCACTGAAAAAGATGTTGCAGTAGTTGTTCTCTCTGCAGTGAAGTTGTGATTACAAGAAATCCATCCTCCTACTGTAGAAGGGCATGGAAGAGCATGTTCTGTTTCTTTCTGTTTTATGAAAATTATGCAAAGATCTTGCCAGCCCTTTTTGGCCCCTGCGTACAGATTTACTATGTGATATTTATTCTTTGCTTCCTGCTATAATTTGAAATGTTTTGCCTTGAATTCAGGATCAGAAGTTTGGCCAGCTGCATCCTTACTGAAATCCAGTATCTAGACCCACAGCACCTGCCTAGTAGCAAAGATAGTGCTGATTCAATTAGACAATAAAATCATGGTAATGTTAACATCTGAAAACAGGTCTGTATTTTAGTATGCCACTACTGAGAGGATACTTGTGTATTAAAGACATCATTCCAAGGAAAAAGAAATATATTGTCCATACTTAGTTTTAAATTGATCAGGAATACATACTGTTAAAGCAGCATTTTGGAGTGTCGGTGCGCTTACTGAGATGCAGAAGGTACTTTAAATGTATCTTAGCAATGTCTATGGTTTTATTATATTTTAATGCATTAAAAATACCATGATTTAAACTGACATGTTCAAGCTACATGCTTGTAGATTATCTATTTCTTTAAAAGAGGAGGAGAAGAAATGTGAATAATAAGAAAGTCTATGTTGATTGTCTTCCTCAGTGGGTTGTCATTCTGTTGAACTGGTATGTTTTTAGATTACARGGGTAATCTTACAGTTTAACTTCCACTTCACATTTTTTTCTACTTGTCTCAGTGATGGCATACACATTTTTCCCAAAAAGCAGCCAACGTTTGTGAAAATACTTCAGAAAAGCAGTTTTTCATGAGATCATCAAGTTTCAGGCCACCTATATGCTTACATTCTTTTGCCCAGAAGGTTATCCTTCATTATGGCTRCTGTTTAACAGTGTGTTTTAGAAGCAAGACATGCTACCACCAAAAAGGAGCACATTTACCTGATGGAAGGTTTGTTAGGGTAGCAGGTAATTTTTGTTTGGTTTGCTTATCAGTTTAGTATTTTTTGCAGTACTTGAATCACTAACACAYGAGCTGTTGAAGCAAGAGGGAGATGGTTCTGTGATTAAAGCATGAAGATAGAGTGGCCAAAAGATGGGACAATAAAGACCCATTGGACAATCAATTTTGCTTTCAGTTTTTTATAGCATTATCACTTCTACCTCCTTTATGCATGTGACATATAATTGCAAAATCCTTGTTTGTAAGTGTGTATATATATACATATTTTTGTGTGTATTCATATACATGTGTGTGTTTATGGATGGATATATACACATTCACAGACTTCTGCAATGTCAAATCTTTGTGCTTTGCATTGGTTTGCAACATTCGAGAGAGCTTAAGATCGTAGTTTGCATGATCATTACACCAAGATGGGTAGAAATTGATATCAATTGACTTTCCCATTTCAATTATTGTTACATAAATTGGCCCTTGTAGTGTCATTTCACATTTCTGCTACTGGCTGTAATGAGTAGCTGGTATGAAGATAATAAATTTATATTAYAACGCTGAGACTGAAATCTTGTGCGATGATAAGTTGACAGGAGCTGTGCATTGCTCTGGTGTATACAGGTTTGTGAAATAAATTGAAAAATGAGGTCTGAATGTTACTTAAAATTAAGATTTTAAGTAGTTATATATTAGTATGTTTTGTCTTATATGTCAGTGCAGTATCTTGAGCATTCACCTGATATAACCAGTTATGAAAATTACCTCAGTTTACATTTTTAATGGCCAGGAGAAGAGCAACCAACTGGGCAAGCAAGAGGTCACATCAGTGGGGAGCTTTGCCCTGAGGTTCTTTCTTGCTCCTTACCAGTGTCACAGCAAATAGTCATTGGGAAAAAGTAAGGAGTGGTCTCACTTTTGTGGTCATAAATGTCTAGCTTTATAGAAATTATTTCACAGAATATGCACTGCT